CCCGTTTCGCAGGAGTCCGGGTCTTCGATCGGGTTGGCGTTGACTTCTTCTGGGGTGTCGGCATGACTTTCTTAGCGACTACGGCGACATCGGCTAGAATCTTCTGGTTTGACGCCATATTCTCTTGTCGCCTGCGCTCGAAGGCGCTCATGGGCGAGTCGACGCCTTTCTTAGGAGGCATGGTGACGGTGAATGAGGTGCACGAATGGCTAGTTTGAGCAAATTATTGTCAAGCAAAGGTGAAGATTTAGGCGTTGTGAGAGCCTCCCCAGGGTAAAAACTTCGAATGGTTTTGCTGGTTTGCGCAAAGAGCAAAAGTGACAGGATCGTGAATGGTGATGTGAAGGGCGCAAACCAAAACGCGACTCATTAATTGAATTTGGCGCGAAGTCACGCGCTGGTGCCTACGCGTTCTGCATCCGGGATTCAGCCGACCACTACTGGCCCAGCATCAAATTTCAGCCTCCAAAAATCTCATGTGAAAAATTAAAGGTTTTATCAAATCCTTGAACACATCACAAAAAATGTCTCGAAATCTTTTGCCGTTTTTGTATCAAACAAGGACACTACAACTCGCTTGTAGACGCCCTGCCAGCATTATTTTCACTCAAAGAGCTGGAGTGGCAACTTCGACAAGACGGCTGAGAAAAGCCGATAATTCTGAAATTCCTTTCGAGTTTGACGACGAGGACACAACAAGTGCAAACGAAACCGAGATTGAACGACAAGGAACGTTGACGCCAACGGAAACAGAGATTTTTAAAGGAATTTTCGATGACATTGCTCAAGGCCGCCTAGCCAAAAACAAAAAGCCTTCTCAGTTTGGCCAAACTCAACCTACAAGTTCAGCATCAAACCAAGAACGACCAGACGGGGCGCGTGGAGGAAACACACTTGTAGAAAAGGCCCACAACTCGAATTTCAGCGATGACTTCCTCAAGCGTTACCCATCATCTCTTCGAAGAGCTGCCGAGAACGCTCTGGGCAAATTCGAACTTGCACCAAAGCGCCCTAATCTTTACAGCTTGGCTGAATTTGACCAGGCGGAGAAGAAACAGATGCGCGAGTGGGCAAAGTATGAGCAGATCAGGGAGAAAGAGAAGACGAGAGTGCAGAATCTTATGAAGGCTTCCAAGACAGACATTGAGCTTTGGAATGTCATGGAGGAAGAGGTATTCTCCTTACCTGGAAAGCTAGGCATTGTCGAGAAAGACACAACAGTCAAGAGGGGTCGGAAATCAAAAGAGCAAATTGCGAAGGAGGAAGCTGAAAAGGTGAAGGCCGAGAAAGCAGAGAAGACAGAAGGGGGGAAGGCTGTCATGGATATCCATGGGCATTTGTACCCTCAATATCTCGTCTACGGCCTCGAGCTCTTCGACGCCGCATTTGCGAGATCATCTATCCTCGCATTCAATATCCTCCCCCGAGTCAAGGAACTCGGGCTTTCCTCCTATGTTCTTGGCGTCTCAACCACCTTTTTCATCAAACTCGCCGAAATACACTGGAAGCGCTACGGTGATGCTACATCCGCCTTCGACGCCCTTGACGAGATGAAGCCAGTTGGTTTGTTCCCGAATGAACAGCTGGGTGACCTCGAGGGATTAGTTGAGCAGATCTCAGATCATTTGCACAGCTGCACCTGGGGTGCTCAGGGACCTTTTGTTATGGCTATGATGCAAGCCCCGCCGTACGATGCCAGCCTTATGAGTCGCTTGGGACGCATGAAGGGCTTGATTGCGAAGAAGCACTTTTACAATGATGGTCGTCTCGAGGATGGCACGGATCGAGTTAGGCTTTGAGCATGGAGTCCGAGTGATGGGTAAATGATTGTAAGATTATGATGTTAAATATGTATAAAACTGTATTGTTATGGCTGAACCGCTACCACGTATCAATAGTGAAAAGTACTGGAATTGTCCTTTTTAACAACTGTCTAATTTCTCGCGTGGTCAGTCGCTGGAGGGGTTTGGGTCGGTCTTTGAACTTGGTGAGCATCTTGATTCCCCCCTCCCACCACGGCGGTGATCAATGAAGATCCTCAACCAAAGTATGGCAGCGATAATAGTGAAAAAAAGCTGCCGGAACTAGAAGAGGATTCTCGAGCCAGGGTAAGGGAGAAGGAGTCTGCTGAAATGTTAGGACTAAATCAGAGACGCGGCAGATAAAACCTACAGGCATGATTCAGGCGTTTACTGAAGATATAGAGGAATGCTGGGGAAGAGTCTGGATCTGATAAAGAAGAAGAAGAAGATGATGAGAAGAGAAGTTAAGAGATTTAGGCTTACAGGATATCTTATACCCAGCATATTATGTTAAAATAAATTTATTATAACTAATCTTTTACTACCTCATGACTTGATATTTCTTAACCAACCACGATGTTAACAATCTTTCTTGATGGCCCTGATTAGCTAAAGTGATACTTTTAGATAATTCTTTTTCGTGTAGACTTTTTAAATATTTCACTATGCTTTCATCCAATGAACCTACATAATGACTCAACTTGCAGCTGCCAATAAGGTTACTGATTGAGTCATCATAAAAGCATATCATTCGTTTTTTTTAATTGGGAGACTTATTTTTATTGAGGCTATATGCATATTGCCTTTAGAAACCCGAAGTTGATTGACATTCTTTAGTGTGTTTGTTGACTTGATCGACTTGTAGCTGAGGGCTTATTCCGGCGGACAGAACCTAGTTGGCTTGATATGTCTCGTTGAGATGTCATAAGCTTTAACTATCAATCAATCAAGTACTGAACTTCTTTAGCTATAAACAGAAGGTTTCTTGGCCCTAATCCTTAGGTTATTGCCGAAGTTGTGATAAGGTTGAGGTTAAAGAGCCTCCAGCCTCAGCGCACAAGGGTAATGAACACCAATAGACATCTTTGCCCTTACTTTTACCTAAGATCTTGCTTTTAGCTGCAAAGCTAGATGTCCCGATGACTGAACCCAACGGTGTATAAATAAGTGCCCGTTTGCTGCATTGCTGAAGCAAAACATTCTCCCCTCTCAATTTCGCATCACAAAAGCACCACCACCAATCCATAATCTACGATCTAGACTTGACACTATACACTCCACATTACGGACTTAGCTCCTCGGTGTGATCTACTACTTCGATCTGATGCAAGAGCCACTGAACAACCGTCCTCCTACACCCTGGTATAAGAATCCTCGGCTGCTACTTGCCATTGTCTTGCAAGCCACCGCTATCAGACTCTGGTGGCTCACTATCTTCCCCAACGACCCTGGTGAATTTTGAGTGGGAGACCATTGATCACCACCCCCTTTCAACCATGCCTGGGTTTTGGGATTATTGGGAGTATTCTTTTTTACTCCTCAGGCTTCGTAACAGAGGACCTCTAAGGCTTGGTGGGATATTTGAATACGTGCCTATACGTCCCGCTCCTGAAAACTACAGCTATGCCGCAAGGGCCTGGTATTACCTGGCACATAGGCAATGCTTTAATCAGTTCTTGGGTATACTGGGCCTTCTGGCCTGTTTGATGGGAGAGCTGTGGATGGACAAGAAAAGCAAGTACGGGCCGGCTCCGGTGGTCTTCAGCATGCTCGAACGCTGGAATTGGCGGGAACTACTGCTACTTGTCCCCCCTAACCTCATATCTGACAAGTGGCCTCTTGACAGCCTGGCATGCCATTCATCTGAAAGAGAACTAAGATTTGGCCAAATGACGGTAGCCGATTGAAGCCTAAAACAGAGTGGACGCCTAGAACGAAGCCTTTAGCCTCGAGACTCGGCAGCGGAAGGTTATGCATCGGCTTCGATGATAGCGATGGGATCTAGGAATGCACGCCATCCAAAATAAAGATGGTATTTATCAACGAGAAAGAGATGGCCAGTATCACAAGCATTCAATGTGTGTGACAGGGTTCGAGCTAAACAAAGCTCCTCTTTGCTTGGAAGCGAGATTATTTTAAGCCAGGCATCCTGCTGGAGAAATATATAGAAGATCAGACGAAGTTACATGGTTGTTTTGTCATATTCTCTCTTCACAACGAGTTGGGAACTGTGAGTTAGCGATTATTCCCACGGTGTAACCAACACGTGAAGTAATCTACATAGGTAAGTAGTTAAAAATGTGCTATTGGGAAGCCCGTATAGTGTATACTTCTTCTAAGCTTGCGTTGAGATAACGACCTTTTCCAATTTCCCGTTTCTAGATCTGTCATAGACTCATAGTCATATCACATGTTTCCAACCCAGTCCTATACAACACTAGCCATTTGGCTCCAATAAGCGCTGCGTCACTCAAAATAGTAAGGTACAAGTTTTTCGGTAGCTGTCTCCAAGATATACTCTTTAATTCGCGCGCAGAACACCATCATCATTTGGTTCCGGCTTCTTAGGTTGCGCTCGGAGGGATTTGAAGAGGAGGTGTGGGTATTGACCTGACCAGCAATGATTTGTGAGAAGGTTGATTTGATCGGACAGCAAAGAGAAAAACCGGATCTGCTATGTTCTAAACATGCAGTCCCTCGACCGCCCGTGGTAGGGGTCCAGGATCACGATGCATAGGTTGGTCAACAGATGTTTTCTGGGTGGGGGGGAAAGCAATCAGGTATATTATCTGTAATATGATTTGCCACAGCATGACAACGTGGCCGAGTGGTTAAGGCGATGCCCTGCTATCTCTTCGAGACATCATAGGCATTGTGTTCGCACGCGTAGGTTCGAATCCTGCCGTTGTCGATGTGTTTTTTTGCCTTTTCCTTGGACTTATTTTTATCTTTCAGTCTTGCTCACTTCTCGGGATCGATGAATTCTTCTATGCTGGTGTTGGGTGATTGAGGTTTTGGTGAACCGGTCGCTGGTTGGGAGCGCTGATGAACGAGCCAATCAGCGACTTAGAAATGTGGATCACTGTTTAAAGTGTTCAGGCTTAAATGCTGACAACTTCGACGCGTCTGAAGGACTCCTTTTTGTTTGCGATAATTATCCAGGTCAAGTTACATCCATTTGCCAATCCTATTTAGACAATGGGCTCTTTTTTGTCTCGAGATGAATTCCCTGTTGGAGGTAGAGTATGTCGTTGCATTCCCTCCATACAGTTGCCCCCGCTCATTAACAGTTTGTAGACAATCTTAATTACAGGTGGTTCCAGAGGTCTCGGCTTAGCAGCAGCGCGCCAACTCTCTTCCAAAGGCGCGAACGTCGCTATAGTCGCCCGTGACACAAACGTCTTGAAGCAAGCCCTCACTGAAGTTGAAGCATCTGCCCAATCTTCATCTCAGCGCTTCTTCTCACTCGCAGCCGACGTCACCAAAGCTTCAGAATGCTCTCGTGTGATTGCAGCAGTCACCGCCTGGAACGATGACAGCCCGCCGGATATCGTCTGGTGTTGCAGTGGAAGCGCGCATCCGACGTTGTTCGTTGATACACCGGTTGAGCAGCTTCAGACTATGATGGACAGTAATTATTTCTCGAGTGCGTACATGGCTCATGCTACGCTCAATGCGTGGCTGAAGCCTGTTATCGACGGTACTACGAAGAAGACCATAGAAGCCAAGACACCGGCGTCTCGCCACATTATCTTTACGGGCTCTTTTGTGTCGTTGTACAGCTTTGCAGGTTTCACGCCTTACTCGCCCTCCAAAGCTGCCATCAGATCACTATCAGACTCTCTTTCACAGGAGATGAACTTATACGCAGGAGCTCATCCCAATGAGCCTCGCGTGCGCATCCACACTGTCTTCCCGGCTACAATGCCAACCAAGTCACTGGACGATGAGAACAAGGTCAAGACGGATGTTACAAAAGCGCTTGAGGAGGGTGACCAGATCCTCACACCGGATGAATGTGCTCGTCGTGCAATTGCGGGATTGGAGAGGGGAGAGGAGCTTATTGCAACGAGTACTATTATTAGACTCGTCATGACTACTGTCATGGGCGGTGCTATACGTGGTGGATTTTGGACTGGCTTGGCAAATACATTGCTGAGTTGGGTTGTGATGATCGTCATGGTGTTTATTCGGTGGGATATGGATGCCAAGGTTAGGAATTGGGGGAAGAAGCATGGGTCGACTGGTATGGCATCCAAGGATAAGCAAGGAAAAGATTAAACTAGCAAGGAAGAACGCGCAAGGCTCAAGAAGATACGAAAACGAAAGGGTGCATCATACTGGCCTCTCGTTCCCCCTCATTGACGACTCTTCGTACCACTCTCCCTTACTGTGTTCGTTGCCAAAGTGAAAACATGATACATGTGGCGCGTTGCACGAACTTAGCCCTGTCTCACTCGATGACCTGAAAGGTTCCGGAAAGTCGCACGTTGAGGAGTCACTTTCGGACGAAAATGGACAGTCGTTGACATTAGACACTGACCTTAAAGCATTTGTAATAACGACGATCTGCAACCACCTTTAACACTAAACACACAGTCGATAGCCAGTCTGGGGGAGGAAAGAAAACCCAAGACCTTAAGCCTAAGCGACAAAATATTTAGGTAAATCTAGCCTAAACTTAGGGGACACTTTACTAAGTTTATTTTAACACCCTATGTCAAGGTCCGGTGTTTTCTTGCTCCCTGAGGCCGGTTGCCATACGACAGATCACAATATTGTCCATCCCTCCAGCCGAGACAGGCTATCTTATAATTTTCCCTTTACCCAGTGGAAACTCTTTCAATCTGGAACTACGGCGCCCAATTGAGTGAGGCATAGCCATGATTGCCAGGCTAGGCTAACTGCAGGCAATCTTACATGCATGAGGTGATGCAAGACAGGGGTGCACAGCCTCTAGAGGCAGCCGTAAGGCAATCCACAACCAAGCTTATTATCCTTAAAAGCCTTCGATCTAAGATTACAGCCTCAATTCAGTTTTCTTTGTTTCCTTCCTCTCCATTGTGCGATAGCTGAACGGTAATCACTAGCTATGGACCCCTTGTCAATTATAGCCAGTATCGCTGGCATAGCGTCAGCCGGCGCTCAACTCTCAAACACTCTTTTCAAGCTTTACAAGACAGTAAAGAATGCACCCAGAGAGATCCAATTGGTTGCGATTGAGATGTCTGGCTTGACCTCCACTCTTGAGCACTTACACGACATCATCAGAACGGGGCAATCTTATGCAAAGCCACAGTTCTGCGATGCTGTTCGACATGTTGTCAAGAACATCCAGGTGACGCAGGAAGAAATTGACAAGATGGTGGCTGATGAGAGTATGTTGCGGAGGGTCAAGTGGCTCAAAGCTTCGAGACTGCTTTCCGACATTGATAAGCATAAGGTCACATTGACTTTGCAGATTGCCATTCTTTCAGCGGCTGTTCTCGTCAAGTCCACCAGCGGGTAAGTACTCATGCTGTAATTGGGACAATGATCCTGACCTTTCCAGCCGTCTATCAATACAAAAGAAGGTGGAAAACCGATTCAAGGCCCAAGCCGAAAGCCTTGTCCTGGCTGGTCAAGCCTCATTTCAGAATGATGAGTCGGAACCAATCCCAGACCCTCCTCAAGAAAGAGCACCAAGTCCCCCAGTTCGCACAAGCAAAAGACTACCAAGTCCCGTGCGTGAGTCTGAGATCCCCGGACACGTAAGAACAGAGGAGCTCTACGGTCAAAGCAAGAATGAAGACAACGCATTTCTTTCTGCGAGTGAGAAAGAAGAGGTCCATTCAGCACTTGCGCTAAGTGTAAAGGACACTGTACTGCCAGAAAGACGCTACACCGTTCCTGCGATTGATGATAAAGATGAGGAAGGCATCTCATCTGAAGACGAAGACAGAGTGTCCCGACGTCGCGGAAGGTCGGGGTTTGATCCACTGTCCGGTCGTAGCATTGCGCAATTTGGGCCTGATTTCCACCGACGCGGCGATGCAGCTACATTTCTATACAACCTCGTATTTCTCAACGAGATGCCGGTGAAAGGAAAACCAGATCAGAGCTCACATCTGAGAGACATTGGAAGCGAAGAAAAGACAGAAGTGCGGTACCGACATCCACATTCGGATGATTTGTATGACGATGAATACTATGACTCTGGAAACAAGGAGGGTCCTCGGGAGAGAGTGAGATTCAAGAACCCCAATCCACAAGAACCGGGAAGGATCGTTAATCGCCTACTTTTGGCTTGGACATCACTGAGCGAAAACGAGCTTGAGAAGGGGAAACCGGATAATCAGGCCGATAGAAGCAAGGCGTTTGAAGAAAGTGACAGCTCTGACAGTGAAGAATCGCTCTACGGATCTGAGAACCCAGATACAACCTGGAGAAGAGTAAGCGGCCCTCAAGTACTGATAGTGTATAGATATGCTAAGGCTTGGATAGGAAGCAAGATCAGCTCGCAATAGGTTCCTAAGAGAAGAGATCAATTACAACAATAAGCCGGAGTTTGATCCTCGTGGTCGCAGGATACTCAGACCAACACAAACTTCGGGTCGTCCCTTTGAATATACGAATGCACCCCCACGAAACAATGGCTTTTCACCAGTATCAGCAGAACCAACTATGCCGTACCCGAATGGTGGCTATGGCCAGCCATACGCTCAGGCTCGAAATCCTTATGCTCCGTCTTACGGATCTTCGGACCAGACAAGCTGGATGCCTGGTGCATCAAACTCCTCTCATAGATACCCTTTCCCACCACCACCACCTGGAGAGACATATTCGCCCCCATCAACTCAGTCACAGAACCCAGCTACAGAGACAAAACCAGTGAGATCAAAGTTCCAGAAACCTGGTTTTGTTGTTCTGCCACAAACAGACTTTGCAGACTATGAGGCTGGGCCAATGACCCCCAAACTTGACCTCACGTCTGTTAACTTAGGTATCATGAGGCAAGGAGATGAGCCAATCTGGGACTGCGATGCTTTCATGTCTGAAAAGGGTTACCCAGGGAAAGCGATTATGGGTGCACTTATTGGTGATAAATCTGCTAGAAATCCTCACGGATTAGATCTGGCGCATACGTTGATGAAAGGAAGAAGTTTGAAGCTTGTTTATATACGAGGCAATGGTGCGTTTCAACGCAGACTCTTAACAGGTGAAATTGCTGACGAATTAGACCTCGGTGAAACCTGGTTCATCAATGAACAGCCTGTTTTCTTGCAGTTCCTTCATTCTGGGTACTTACCTCAGTTCTACCCAGCGAAGGAGACCGATGAGAGAGCCATGAAGGAAGAGTACGTGGCTATCGGAGAAGAATGGGCCAGCTTCGAAGCTTTACAACAACTTGGATTGGTGGTCAAGGGAAGAGAAGAAGGGCGTGTTTTGTTGGACCCTAGCTCGACATGGGTAAGTTATCTCTTTATTAACTCTGGGATTCATTGCTAACTTCAGGAAGTCAATGATTAAAGAGCTTGCTACTACGACTCTCCAGCTGAGAAGCATGCGACAGAGACGTACTTTCACCTCGACTTTCTATAAACCGCTATCTCTGTTCCAACAAAAACATAGAGTTGAAGTACCCTCACTTGTGGCAACAACGATTTCTCAAACTCGAGTACCTGCTGTTCCAGACAGACGTGCCACGGTTGAGGATGAAAGCGAAGTTGACATTATAGAACTGCCGATAAATAAAAAGCCCAAAAATACACCAGAAGAAAACACAGACGCCCAAAGCAGTGCAGCACCAAGCACACTTCAACCACAGATCTCCATCACCCCACCATCAACACCTCAGCAGACCTCACCCGACTATTTGGACACAAGCGAGGTAGCATCGCACGTTTCTTCAGGGTCGCGCTTGTCTAGGTTTGTGAAGCGTTACAAAACAGGAGGGAAAAAGAACCTGTCTTTGCCTCTGCATCGGCAGAGCCCAAAGACTAGTGGAAACGGAAGTGAGAGCATTGAGTGGCAGGATGACGATAAAAGACCCCTAACACCAACGGACTCGGGTGTTGGAAGCTCCATAGTCTCGGGGCGATAGGGATCTTGCTTGGGGCTAAGACTCATGCTTTATCATTATAGATCATTCATGGTCTACATCTATGTATCCAAACTTGTATTCGTAGGTAGCATGATGAGAATACATGTGACTCGACATCTACTCCTTTTTGTAGAATGGATAATCTGTATATCCAACGGCATTATCCTCGAATGGCCCATAAAATGTCTTTCGATCATACGCCTGCAACGGCCATCCTTTCCTCAATCTCTCTACCAAGTCAGGGTTACTGATAAAATATCTCCCATACAACAGACCATCATACTTCCCACTCTCGACGACACCCCATGAGTTAACATCATTGAATCCACCGGCGGAAAAGAATGGCGTATCTCCAAAGATGGAACGGAACAGCGACAGATCAACAGTAGGTAAACCCCAAGAGCCCAAGAACTTCTGCTTCTCCTCCTCCGAGAAGATCTGCTCATATCTTGGCTCAACGAAACTAACATATGAAAGCTTGGGCAAGCGGGACTTCAGTTCATGACAGAGGTGGCTCCAGGTTTCAACGCGCTTCTCGCCACGGGCCTGGTTGAACAGGCCAAAAGGGGTGAGACGAATAGCCAAGTTCTCTTGGCCAACCGCATTGGCTAGTTCCTCCATCAGTTCAATTGCAAAGTTACATCTTTTCTCTTCGGAACCGCCATAATGGTCCGTTCGTTTGTTGATGTTCGAGGAGAGAAATTGCTCGACAAGGTATCCGTTTCCACCGTGGACTTCAACACCATCGAAACCAGCTTCAATGGCATTCTTTGCGGCGCTGACGTAGTCACTGATAGTACTCTTCATCTTATCCAGGGTCATCTCGATCGGCGGATAGTCTGCGATTTTGACAGGCGTGGTGCTGTGGGGTGGGGGATATGCAAAGGTCTCGTTAGGGTCATCCCATGGCGTGGCAGAGGGAGCCAGAACGGGGGTTCCGGTCAATTGAGGGATGTTGGCGCGGCCCGAGTGCCATAGCTGGGCATAAATATAACCTCCTTTGGAATGGACAGCAGAAACGACCTTCCTCCAGCCTTCTACTTGTTCAGGTAGGAAAATACCTGGAACGCCTGGCATTCCGTTACCCTCAAGTGAGGGGGGAAGGCCTTCAGAAATAATGAGGCCACCATCGGTTGCTCGTTGAGAATAGTATTCGACCATCAGGTCATTGGGAACCCAGAGTCGGTTGGGCTTCTCGGGCGTGGACTCGGGGTTCACCGGAGTTCCCCGATTTCTAGTCAGAGGTGCATGGATAACGCGGTGCTTGAGATGGACTTTGCCATTTCCAATGTCAAGAGGAGTGAAGAGCTTGGAAGAAGCTCCGGCATCGATGATATCGCCCATTGTGCAGTATATCACGAAGTTCGGAAGGTGTGTCTTATGTCTCAGGGGTTTGCGAGGTTTTAGATACTTAAACCATTGTACATAGACAAACCGCCGATATCAGAGTCTGATATGTCATCCTATACAGGGTTCCAAGAAACCGGAACGGTCTGCAGAGACCAATACCAGCCTTGGTCTGGTGTCTTGGCTCCATAGATGACACCTACGCCACTTCAGCATTCTCCACAGACAAGGACCATATTCTTTAGTCTCTGGGAATCTTGGCGAATATTGTGGACTGATACCGATTACAGGCGCAAGATTGAGCCGATGTGACGTTTTTGACGACTCGACGAATCGACAGGCTTGCAGCATGAGAAACCCGGTCCTTGGTACCGACGTCAATGTTTGGACGATGTAACGGCGGTCCACTCTAATGGAGACAAGAATGGGGATGAGTATTTGCGATCGTTAGATGATAAGCTGTGATAAGGTCATAGTTGGGTCTAGAAAAGACACTAGATCTGGGAAATGGAGCGTTATCATGGTAATCTCCACGGGCTTACAAATTCAGATCAATCGAAGCGAGTTACCAGTGTGCTCCGGAACGAACGAACTTTTCTCGCAATGAATAAACGGTCGGTGATTTCAGGCGCCACTCGGATACGTTTTTACGGCGTTCATAATCTCTAGGGTATTTAAAGGAAGCAAGCAATTGTTTACGCCAGGCAAGTGTAAGAACAACTGAGGAATTCGTTGGGGCTATGAGAGGAGCTCTTTTTACTGCCGGCCTAAAGGCCTTCAAGCCGCAACATCAATCGATAAGCGTAACCTTTCATGCTATACTGGCCACTTGGGTTGCCTGGCAGGCCTTCGTATGTGCTCAAAGAGAGGACTTTGTGCAAATTGAAGTCGATGACCTTCACATGACCCGTTTCGAGATCCTCTAAAACCGAATATATGATCTCTTTGACCACCGTGATAAAATGGTACCCCTTCTGAAAGCGGTCAGGGATACCAACGCGAGTAGTGATGTATAAGCCCTTTTGGTGGCCGAAATCTCATTTGGGCAAGATATTGCTTGTATCAACAACATGATCGGTCGACAACTGAGCGCAAAGGTAAATGCTGGTTTGTCACCTAAAACAAACGAAGTTCACGCGCTGTAGCAGCTCTCATGGAAATCTACCCTTCATAAAATTGATTTGACAAGTAATCCGGCAAGTTGGGGTGATAGATGTAGATTTACTCTCCTCAGTAGTTTACAATCTGTCAAATAGAAGGTGGTTAAATTGCGTTTATCATTATTCAAGAATACTTGTCGTTGTATTTGAACTTATGGAGACTCTACGGAAGCTAACTTTCTTCAGAAGCATTTCCAAAGAGTTTCTCTAATACCTCATCTCGACTTCACCATCCTAGAGCTGCCTTGATTGAGGCCTCGAGGAGCGCACCGCCTTTGGCCTGCGTAGCAGCATTTGGGTGATAGTCACATCCTGAATCAGAACCCTGAGTAGGCCAATCAACCAGATGGGTCTTGACACCAGCCAGCTGCTGCATAGCATCCTTGAGTACTTTGACATGTGTGGACTTCTGCGCATCAGCCGCGGTGGGGTAGCTATCGCTGAGGAGCGGAGAAGCCACAAAGAAGAACTGAGCCTTCGGGTAGTGTGGTTGTATACTCTTGACCAACTTAACCAGAGCTTTAGTCAGGTCTGCAGGGTTGACTGGCTGGCGCACGTTGAGGTAACTGAAGTCATTTGTGCCAAGGTTGATCACAACAGCGTCAGGAACCCACGAACTGGGAAATGTGAAACTGTTGTCGGCGTCATTGGCTCCGTATCGTGTGTAGAGAACTGGCATCGTTGGTGAAGTATCAGGAGGGTTCTGGGCATAGTTGCGGATAAGACCCTTGCCACTCCACGCAACGACACTATAATCCGCCTTCAAAGCCCTCGCTGCAACAGCACCATATGTCTTGCCGTTGTCCTGCAGAACAGCTGAGTCGACACAAGGATTAACGCCATCAAGACCGTATCCAACGGTGATGGAGTCTCCAATGATTTCAATCTTGCGCTTTGGTGCTACGTTCTCGACCAGTTGGCCATCCGTGTTAACGCCTGTAACCCGGAAGACACCGAAAGATGCTTCGGACCGCTTGCGAAGTTCAACGGTATGGGTACCCTTTATGAGCTTTGGAGTCGAGATCGACGTTCCCTCTATATTTTTGATGAGGATTGGACTGCCACCGTCGATAATCAGATCTGCGCTTGATGTGCCGGTGATACCGTCGATCTTGATACTAGCGGTAGTTCCCTTGAAGGTGAAGGCAACTCCGGTGCTCGGCCAAGTGAGCTGCTTGGTCGCCGGATTCACTCTTCCGACAAATCGATAGCTCTAACCTCAAATATTAGTAGTGTCTACTGCTGATGGTCGTGAGGCTTACAGGTAGTGAGGCTGCCGACACAGCGGTCATAAAGAGGGTCAACACAGCCACCTTCATCTTAACCGTGCCTTGTATCCAAACAGACAGCGAAGCAATCAATGATTGGCAAGACTTTCAATGAGATGAAAGGACATTTCATCACCTTATATATTTTCACGCATCTCCTGATCAATCCTGGAGACTTCGGCAGAGACTATCCGAATTTGCCTAAATAGGCAAAGCACGGCTGTTTACAAGGTTTCTGTTTCATAAATCATCCACCACTTACAGTGTGCTCCGTCCTATTTAATTGAGACGATCCAGCTGTTTCTGTATTTCTCCGGCCCTTCGTATAGCTTCCGAGCCGAAACGAGAACCTTGCGCCTGGGTCCTTCGGAGGAGCCAAGTGAGTATCTCAGCCTCATGCAATGATGAGCATCGGGCGTCCTAGCACTACTACCTAAGATTAGGCTCATTTGTAGCCGATTTCCTCAAAGAATTACTAGCTGAGGTCATTCATTCAGGGAGACATATTACTCGTATGCTCCGCTCGGTCCACACTGGCAAATCCGGATAAGAAACTCGTGGGTGCATGGCCGATTCGGTTTGGATGGTGATTCCTACGGCGACTACACTTTTCGCTGGAGGCATGACAAGCGGCTAAGCTGCCATATAAGGATCAGTGAATGATGTTGGACCGGTGCGATTAGAAGATTCAGGGTATGGGTTAAATACAATAAATAGAAGGACCTTGGAACAAGTAGTTCACTATGGCTGTGGAACTGTATTCTGCCCGGTGCGTGTGGTTGTAGCTGGTAGAAGCTACGCGAAGGCCATCAGCCAGATACGTTTTGTCTTTGTGATTTGTGACTGAGAGCACCGATCAGCACGGAGAACCTCTTCATGATGATATTCGCTTGCTTATCATTTTGAGAGCAGCTTGTGATGAACTTGATTACTCTTGAACCAGTTTGCTTCTAAAGCTGTTACCATAACGAAGCGAATGAATTACTTTAGCTGCAGAGATCAGACCTAGTCACCCTTTCATTATGATGCTCCAAATTTCTTATACCACCTCGAGACCATAATATGGATCCCACGTTTGCCTCTTGACATTCAATGAATGCCGCTTCAAGCCTCGATTTATATCTCAAATGGTCGCCAAAGAGGCGAAGAGGGCGTGATGTTTTTAATTCTTTCAGTAGCCGCAGCGTATTCATCATCATTCACGTGCGGCTCACCTTGAGGGTTA